CTCTCTCTCTCTCTCTCTCTCTCTCTCTCTCTCTCTCTGTCTCTGTGTGTGTGTGTGTGTGTGTGTGTGTGGTCCGTGTGCACTCCCAGAATAGCACCAGCAGGGAAGATGATCAAAGAATGTTGCTGACCAGAATTCCTCACAATCCTGTGAAACTTGCTCCTTTATAGCTGAGGAAACCACAGCCACATTTTCTGTAAGTCTGAATGAAAGTGACTTTCCAAAATCACGGGACCTATTCTATGCCAGCCCTTCCCAGTGCTCTCTACCAACCTCACCACCACTATGCGTGTGTTCTTTTATTTAAGGTTTACTTTTTATTTTTAATCATGTGTTTGTCTAGGTGAGCGCAGGTATCCTCAGAGGCCAGAGGCATCTGATCCCTTGAAGCTGACGTTACCTCGGTTGTGAGCCACCCAACGTGGGTGCTGTGTCCTCTGCTGGGCTGTAAGCTCTGTGGTGCTGAGCCATCCATCAGCCTGTGTGTCTGGGCTCTCTGGGCACAGGGTTCACTTTCTCCTCAGACCGCACCTCAACCCCGCCAGGTGGGCCCTGTTAACACCCTCGTCTTGCAAAGGAGAGAACTAAGACCATCGGAGCCAACTGGTCAGTAGCTGTACCTATTGCTTCTCGCTCGGCTGCCTTCAGCCTCCCATGTGCCTGCCTCTTTCAAAACGCAAATCATGAGGTTTCCTTCCATCCTCCTCCACACAGCCCTCCATTCCCAGTAGTGACATTTGTAAGACTGAACTCTAAGTCTACCCTTCACTAAGCAGTGGTCAAAGCGTGGCTGTTGGGGCTGGAGAGTCGGCTCAGCGGTTAAGAGCACTTGCAGAGGACCAGGACTTGATTCCCAGCACCCACGTGGTGGCTCACAATAGTCTGCCACTCCAGTTCCAGGTGATCCGACACCCTCTTTTGGCCTCCAGGGGCACCAGGTGCACACGTGGTACACAGACAAACATTCATTCACATAAAAGGAAATAAACAAATCTTCAAAAGGAAGTTACTGAAAACCCCTAGGAGCTAGTCTGAATCTGCATGGTTACCTCAATGGGAAGAAGCTAATGGTTAATGTCATTTTGCTAGTTTGCCCCAAGGAGATAGGAAATGGGCTGTTTTTGCAGACACAGTCAAAACAACCTGGCATCAGTAATGTTTACGTATATCATGGCAAGCACCCAAGTGGCCATCCAAAATAGGCTCGGCATGGAGAGAAAGGGAATTTGCATGTCTCCATTTTGTACATTGTGCTGGTTAGGTTGGGCTTTTTTTGTTTCTTTGTTTTGTCAACTTGACATAGCTAGAGTTATCTGGTAAGAAGGAACCTCAGCTGGGCGGTGGTGGTGCATGCCTTTAGTCCCAGCACTTGGGAGGCAGAGGCAGGTGGATCTCTGTGAGTTCAAGGCCAGCCTGGTCTACAGAATGAGTTCCAGGAAAGGCACACACAAAGCTAGCTACACAGAGAAACCCTGTCGGAGAAGGAGGAGGAGGAGGAGGGGAAGGAGGAGGAGGAGAAGGAGAAGGAGAAGGAGAAACCTCAAATGAGAACATGGTTCCATCATATTGGCCTGTATGCAAGTATGTAGGGCATTTTGTTATTTTGATATGGAAGGGCCAAGCTCACTGTGGGTGTAGCCACCCCTGGGCAGGTGTATAAGAAAGCAGGCCGAGCAAACCGTACGGAACAAACATATAAGCAGCATTCTTCCATGGTGTATGCTTCAGTTCCTGCCTCCAGGTTCCGGATCTGCTTTCTCTCAATGAAGGACTGTAAGTTGTAAGCTTAAACAAACCATTTCATTCCCAGGCTGCTTTTGGTTATGGTATTTTATCACAGTGACAGAAACCCTAACTAAGTCATCCGTCCAAGTCTTTTCCACCATAATGTAATGGTTTGGTTATTATCAAAGCAGCAAACTGCTCACCAACTTGTGACTCTGGTTAAGAACCGGATCCTGTTGACATCCCTGCCCCACAGCCAAAATACATCACTGGGGTGTGCTAAGTGCTCAGTAATTTTCAATGGGTGTGAAAGCATCACAGAACAACATTGCAGTTTATTCACGATCAATCCAAACAAGTAAGATCCTTGCCAGCCCAACTTAAAAGGTGGCCCAGGGTCTCCCAGCAATTTGTCAACGTAAGTTGGCCAAAGCCCCAGGATTCTCTCTGTCAGGGCGATTGCCAACCTCATAAAGTGGTGTGGGTGGTAATCAGGCAGGTGCAGGCTGACCAACACGAGAAAGATGAGAGCACAGGAATTACAAGAGCAAGGAGTCCCCAGAAAGCGGGAAGGAGTAAGGAGGAAGCGGGGAGGTGAGTAGGACTTGAGAGTCAACGGAAAGCGGGGTACAGGGTAGAGGGGGAAAATAAGAACAAAGCCAGGTTTCTGTAGATAGTTCTGGAAGAAGATGTACCAATAAGACTGACTCCTTTCACATGAGGAACTGGGGCTAGGGAGATGGCTCTGCAGTTAAGAAAGTGCATACTACTCTTGCAGAGGATGCAGGTTTAGGTCTGACCACCTGAGTAGGATAGTTCCCAAGTGTGGACATCCACAGAGGCTTCCTAGTGAGACCTTACTCGGGGTCAGAGAATCTGGGCTTGCTTTACCCAGCAGGGCTGCATAAGGGGATGATTTGACCACAGGTGTGGTTACCAGGTGTTTGGAAGGGTCTACACTTGGCAGTACGGTGTGCTTTGATCTTGCAAAGGGGAGGTCTTTTGCCCCTCCCCTTGGCATTTGTATAAAAAGCCTTTTGAATAAACGTATAGGGCGGCTGGGTATTGATCCAGGGCCCTTCCAAAGCTATCCTGTGTCTCTGTCTTTCTTGTTCTCTAGATCTATCTTTCTACCTAATATCTCCTCATTCCTCTCTCCTCCACCCAAGAACCCTTCGAAAGGTGGAGGCAGGTCAGAGCTGGACTCCCACAGTCTCCCACACACAACCCTTGCAACTCCAGCTCCAGGGGATCTGATGCCCTATTCTGGACTTCACCATGTACACACACACACACACACACACACACACACACACACACACACACACACTTAAAAATAAAATGAATCTTTTAAAATGAAAAGAGGAACCAAAGGCTGAGAACTCTAAGATCTACAGAAGAACTAGTAGGAAACAGGATAAAAGGGACAGAGCTCTGGTGCAGAAGGCCATCAAGCAATCTTCCAACATGCTGGGGCCTCCCTAGGCCCTCCCTACACATCAATGGTGGGTAGATGCCATCATCTGTGCTGGAGAGACCAGGAGTTCTGACAACACCGTCTTAGTGCCGCTGTTTTCCATCCATGACAATACCCATACGTGCCTAAGTCCTGTCCTAACCGCCCCTGCTGAAGGTGTGCAGAAAATTCTAGATGCCTGTACAAATGGCTTTCCTTTCCTTGGAATCCGTTTCTTAGTTGAACCTCCTTCTCTGGAATCCTCCAGGCCTCTGCTTCCTCAATTGTCTGTGCTACTTCCTGATGAAGCCTTAGCTGAGAGCCTTAGGGTGGGATCCATTTCTCTAGTGAAGTCCTAAGAAGAAAAGATAGTTTTTATTTCTGGGGAGAAATGACCAAGAGTTGAATCACTCACCAGACACCAAGCACGAAATAGGTGAGTCGGGGCACGCCAGGCCTTCTGGTGTCTGTGCCCTCTTCACTTGCCAGTCCCTGAGGAATCCCTTTCTTCCTTTTATTGGGCTGTGACCACATCCCAGAGTCCTGGCACATTCTCCTCTTCTGAATGCTACAGAGACCAAATGTTCACAATGGGAAAGGACACATTTCCAGCCCTGGGCAAGAGTGTTGAATTACAGAGCTCCTTTGCATAAGTAGGATAAGTAACAGCCATATTGACAGGTCTCTGAGAGGCGGGGAGCAAGGCCCAGTGATAAGGAAGGCAGACTGAGAGG